GGATGGCTGAGCCGAAAATTTTGGATATTTAGAGCCCAAATCAGTGCATTTTATTGATTTACGGGGTACTTTGGGCAAATAGTGGTACGGTCAATACCGTAGTGACCGTACCGTGTGCGACGCCCCTGTTATGGACTGTTGCTTGTATGGTAGTGGTTGAATTGATACTTTAAATAGCAGGCGTTTACGACTCTATACCGTATTATCTCTAATAATATAGCACAGTCTCCAATAATAGCACGTCTCCAATAATAGAACACCTTGGGGCGGCATTCCAACAATAAAGTGCTCAGTCTCCATTAAAAGCACACTGTGTACATTCATTATCTGTACCGACGAAAAAAAAACCTGAAATGTGTGTGTCATACATGAATTTGGCATGTCAACAAGCCTCTGAAATGAGGTTGAAATAATAATGGAACAGTCTCCAATAAAGGAACGTCTCCATTAATAGCACGGGGCGGAGGACCATTGAAAAAATAAAGGACCGTGCTTATATTAGAGATAATACGGTAAGTATAAGTCAAAGTAAATAGGAAGCAATCGGTGTGGTTGCAAAATGATGCATGAGGCACACATCATCTCTGCACGCCCACGCACATTGACCGTGAGAATGAGCCTGCATGAGCCTGCATTCTTCTTCTTCTTCGGTAACTACAAGTCATAATAAATATGAAAATGACTGTGAGAGTACAGTGTGCATGTAGTAGAAACTTAGATCAGTTTCTCCAGTTGAAAGAACTGGATAGCTTCTGATGGTTGTGTGAGAATTCGCCGAGGTGTCTGGTAAAAATCAGACACCTCACAACAGCGATAATGTAGAGCGTTTTAGAGTAGAGTACATCATAATAACAAGAGTACATAAACCACTTATGTACTCTTGATAATAATAATATATCCATATAAAAATCGCTCTGTGAGCGGTTCTAAAAAACCTTTACTGGTACCTGCAGTGACTGCGCGGCTACTGTTGGGGTCTGCTGGGAGGTGACTAAGCTGTACAAAGTTGTATCATCAGCATAGGCTTCCAAGCTGGCGCCGTCAGCGAGAACATCTGGCGCGTCGTTGACGTAGGCCAGGAAAAGCGTTGGTCCAAGGATGCTTCCCTGGGGGACTCCAGCGGAGGTCGTATACCTAGATGACGTCCGCCCTCCAACGAGGCACTGTAGGGAACGGGTGTCCAGGTACGACGCCAGCCATCTCTGAAGCGGACCATCTATGCCTAGGCTACGTACCTTGTGGAGGAGGCCGACATGCGAGACACGATCAAACGCTCCTGCGATGTCCACAGCAAGGATACGAGCCGCCCCTCCACAGCCCACAGCGCTTGTCCAGGCAGTTTGGAGAGCTTGCAAAGCGTCCGATGTTCCGAGGCCTCTGCGAAATCCAAACTGGTGCGACGTGAGCAGATGATGGTCTTCAAAATAGTTTACGATGTGTCTGTTTACAAGAGTTTCCATTACTTTCGAGATTATGCACAGTAAGGATACGGGCCTGTAGTTCTTTAGGGTTGAGCGGGAAGATCGCTTGTGGATCGGAACCACGTTGGCCGTCTTCCACATCCTAGGTTGCACTCCAGACCGGAAGCATAAAGCAAATAACTTGGACAGTGGCTCTGCGAGCTCATGAGCACATTCCTTAAGGACGCGAGCAGAAATACCGTCAGGCCCGGTAGCCTTGGAGACGTCGAGCCTTGCCAGGAGGCGGCGGACAGCCTGTGGACGGAAGCGGATGGTGCAAAGAGGTGGAGCCTCTGAGGGAGCAGGGTCCGGTAGGTCAGCCTCCACAAGGTCCGGACCGGCAACGCTACATTTCTTCGAGAAGAAGCGAGCGAATGCCTCTGCTTTCTCTGAGCTCGTTGCCCACTCGCGGCCGTCAGAGTCGACAACTAGGGGAATTTCGGGCTGTGTGCGGTTGCCAGCAGCGTTCTTCAACTTCGTCCACCACTTTGCTGCAGGGTCGCTCTGACACCGGATTTTGACAGGCGGTGGAGTTTATCCAGGAGCTGCTTGGAAAGACTGGAGAAGAAACGGTTGGATCCATAGGACAGATGAGCCTGTATCATGCTGACATACCAGACTTGGCGTGCTCTTAGGCTCAGGGACCTGCCGTGTCGCCATAGCTGTCCAATTATGGGCCCGATCTTGCGTGTTACATGGCTGATATGTGGCTGCCAGTAGAGGTCATTGTCGATTACAACACCCAGGTATTTCGCAGATGTTGTTGATTCCAGGGATTGTCCTCGACAACGTACATGTTCTTGAACATCAGCACCGCCTCTTGGCTTTACAAACAGAACTTGGGTTTTCTGGGCATTCAGAAGTAGGCCGATGTCATCTAGCCACTTGGCGAGGTTGGTCACTGCAGACGACAGAGACTCGCAGACTTGCTTGGGACACGCGTTGGAGCAATCGAGAGCGATGTCATCAGCGAATTCCTGATCTGCCACATCCGGAGGCATCGTTGACTTGACGTCAGCAGTGTAAATTACAAACAGGAGTGGGCCTAAGACACTGCCCTGCGGAACACCGCGAGAGCAAGGAACAGTCCCTGACAACTGATCCTGCAATTTGATCTGCTGTGTCCGGCCAGACAGGTAACTGCAGAACCAGTTGAGTGCAGTTCCCGAGATGCCTAGCTTAAACAGTTCGGTAACGAGTCGCTCATGCCTGACGCGGTCAAAGGCCTTTGACATGTCGACAAACACGATGCCGGTATACTTGCGCTCTGCCCGTGCCATTTGCCATCGATCAACAGCATACGTTAAGGCATCTTCTGTGGAGTGAAGCTTTCGGTAGGCAAACTGAGTAGGCGGAAGAAGTTGCTTGGAGTCCAAGTACTGCGTGATCTGATTTTTTACAAATGCTTCTGTGATGCGGGAGATAACTGGGAGCAGTGACACAGGGCGGTAGTTCTTTGGCAAAGTTGGGTCTCCACTCTTGAAGAGCGGACTGACGTGGGACAACTTGAAGGACAGGGGGAACTCACCGGAGGACAGGGATATATTAATGATGCGTGTAAGTGTGGGGGCAATGGTTGGATAACACTTTTGCAGGATGATGCTTGGAACTTGGTCACTGCCTGTTGCCTTGAAAGGGTTGACAGATTTCAAACTGCTTGCCACATCCTCGACTGTCACTACACTGAAGTCGGCAAATGCCCCTTCCGCCATTGGACCAGAGGGAGAACAGAGCTGAGGAGGACGCTGGGGATCATGGACAACGTCACCA